ATGTTTTGCTCATGGTCAGGTAGTCTCGAACCTCAAAGGTCCACGTGGTTAAGCGGTAAACAAATATTCATCGATTATTTAGATTCGTGCGTATGAATAACATGCATCAATTCGTACACCCGAGAATCGATTGTTTAAAATTCGTGTACATTTTATTGCGAAAAATGTCATTAGTTTGGTTGGTTCGTGTGTGCAGGAGTCTGTTGTTTCTTGTATTTGTTTATACATTGCCACTAGGTTTAGACAAATATCGATTCTGCATGTATCATGTTTAAAGCACATCTTCTGTCCTCTAACAACATGCTCATATGTCACGTGTGCAAGTTAAAACACCAAATTAAGAAGTTTGTTTTGAACTGCTTTGAATGGATTTGTTTCTCCACTTTTTCATGGCTCAACTTGTGACTAAGGTTGATATTTTATTTTTATGAAGAACTCGGTGACGCCTTTCCATCCGCATCCTACGATATTTTATAACGAATCCACTTTGTGGTTGCAAATGCACCGACTCCGAATATTGTTTAGTGCTTGTAGCGTTGCATTGCCAAAGTTATGCAGCCTTTTGTGGTGCCAAGTGCAAGTAAAATAAATGTCAGCTGTCACATTGGTACACTCAAGTCAGCAGTGTCAGCCTTAATCTACTTTCACCAGCTGGGGGCTCCCCTCCTTGCTTGATTCCAGTTAAACGTGGAAACATTTTAACTTTTCTTCAGACACTTTTAACAGCACAGTGCTCAACGGGGGGGGGGGGGGGGGGTGGTGTGTACTTCGTTTTCCACTTTGCTTAGTCAATCCTCCGGTAGGGACAAGTTCCAAAAATTAGCCATCGCCTCTAAATGTGTTGTCCTACACTGACAACGGGACGGGCGGCGGGGGGCATGTGACGTAAAGAAAACCACAGCTGCACGGGTGTCGCGTTGCACCCTCGACTTCGGCGGTGCGAGTGTTCTTGCCTCCGATTGGCAGGCAGGCACTTTGGCCAGGACGTGTTGGGACTTGACCCGCCTCTGGCCCCTCCTTCCCCACCGCAGCAACAGCTGAGGCCTTGCTAACAGGACGTGCGCCCGTGGTGTGTGCGCCTGCCGGGCGCACCTCCAATTAGCACGCTTGGCTACGTACGATGCGAAAGACGTTTTCAACATGCGTAGCTCGTGTACCCCTGAGATGTTCAATTCACGAGTGGGGTTGCTACGCATTACTAGACCCTGTCGCAGCTCATTACTTATTGGTCTCTTAAGCGTCTGCCCACCGCTGAAACTAGTATACACGTAACAACCACACTCCCAGTGGTTCAATGGATTGTTATAATTTGGGGGTGAGGTTAGATTACAAAAGAAAATATATATTGTCCCGTTTTTACTGGCTCGTATTGGGGTTTATTGTGTCTTCATTTTTTTTACTTCATTAACCTGCAATGTACTATGATATCCTTGTAATAGAATTTGTATAACTCTTTAAGTTATTAATTCTCTCATGCACGACTCGATATGGTGAGGAGCCGAATCGGATTTTCATTCATAAAGCAATGGATCACTATGTCAAGTTAATGTACAGCAGCTCATCACAAGGATTGATTTGTTACGATTTATGCTACGCTTGAACGCTTTTATACGTTGGTGTTGGCATCCGCAGGACTCTTAATATCTTAAACTTACTCAATTCCCTATGTGCCACGGTGATGGTGTGCAATGTTTAGCCTATTGGAACAACCAACTACAGAGAGAGAAATATAATTTTTCAATCATATCTTTATCTTGATTTGCAACGTGTCATTGAATCATGGATGGGTGGATTGTTAAATCCTGTTAACCAGACGGATAATGATTCCACCACCCCCACCAAACAAAAATCTATCGATTGATCTCTTTTTTGGCTTCGTGGTGCATTTGTAATCAAGTGTTATGACAAATACAAAATAGGGTGCCACAAATATGCTATTAAAAAATAGGAAAACTATAATTCTAACGTGCATGACTCAATGTATATATCTAGAGCGTGATATTCACGAATATATGGTGAATAGTGACATGTCTGCCGCTCAGCTTGGCAATGGTTTTCAACTTTTTTTTGTATAGTGGGCTTCCAAATCATAACCATTGCTCCTCCGGCTTCAGCCCCTGTCCCCCTACCCATGTTACTACGACCACAACAAAGCAGAATGATCAAATGTCCATGCCTCCCAGTCATCGTGGTGTTCATAAGGCATTTAGTTAATGTTGCAGTGCCACTGATGTTCCCTACGCTTCTTGAAAATTTTCCTGCACTCAACCAATGCCGTAGCTTGCGAACCCCCCCCCCCCCCCACTCCTTGAAAGGCTTTGGCATCCCACCCATGGGTTGAGAAACCACTGACCTAATGCATGCACCTGGCATGTAGTAACGCTATGTTATCTCTGGGCCATTGACCAGTGTTTGTTGAGTCCTGCCTCGGAGAGACCTTCGCCGCTAATAACATTCGACTGTATTTTTATTTGGGGGGGGGGGGGGGGTCGAGAGCAAACTTTGACCAGCATGCCTACGTGTGCCTGTGCTATGCAGGTCAGCGGATAAGGTAACCGTTGAAGTGACTCGATTGTGCTAAAAAATGTCACAGCAACGACACGGCACTGTTTTGGCTGGCCACCAGTGTTTTACGGCCAGGCATTGAGGTGCATTCTTTAATTATATATTTCCAATTTGCCCTGAATGTTCTTGATCGTATTGGATCTTGGAAGAATAAGCAGGTTGATATAGATAGTATTTGAATGGAAGACTACCTAGCAAGGTCAGGTAGTGGAGTCTTGGGCTGTGAGTTGGACATAAAATAGGTAAAGGTTCCAAAATTCTGCAGCAAAGACTTAGTGTAAAAAAAAAGTGCTGTGTAACCCCCACTGTATGAACTGCACTAGTTGTGTTGGTGGTCAGAAAATAACGAGTTACATTTTTCCATAACTTTTCTGCTATTATCATGGTGGCGCAGTTTGGCCAAACTATTGCAAAACTGTTTCCGCTCTTAATTGTACTCGAGTGATAGCCTTTGATTTTATAATGTCCGACAAAATTAAGACTTACTGAAGGGCTTGTGGTGTTTTGACACCAAAGTTGCAGGAATGGCTTATCCAGAAATCTTATGAATGCACCCACAATGAATCAATTTAACACGACAGTAAATACATTATTTTTAGATTGGATATGAAGTAAACAAAAAAGTCATCTCAAGCGCATTTTAGCCTTTCGACTTTTAATGTCGTCTCATTTGTCCGTGTCTATCGTCTAGACTGAAACTTTTCCACATTTCATTTGGTTTCCGATCACTTACTGCGTGATTTTTTTTTTAACTGAAATACTTCTTTGTTCTGGTGCCCATGAGTGAAATGCACAGCATGATGCTTTTATCTAGTAGATTAATGAGCTTTGTAATTCCTTAATGCAATACCCTGTAGCCACTAAAGATGCCACATTTTTATTGGTAAAAAGTATAGATTCTTGAATCAAATTGCCACCTTAATTTGTAGCCGTTCAATTAATTGCAATGGGGGCACATCATCTTGTGCTTATCCACGTCCAATTTGTGCTCATGCGTAAACAGTTTTAGGTCTTGTTGCTCTACCAGTGTCAATGCCACATTCAGGCGCCGAGTCCAAACAGGCCCGGTGATACCTTGCTAGAAATACGCATTGAGGTGGTGTCCTTCTAAGCCACTGGTGGAAAATCCACATTCCTATGACAGGGGAGAGTCTCCGTAGGAAAACCACTGTTCACTCCTCTACAAAGAAGTATTTCTTATTGACACTGGAGAGGTGATGGGCCGAATCGACTCCCAACTAGGATTAGAACTCAAAAACTTCTGATTGCGAGCCCCTCACTATCGCCAAGCCACCTAACCAGTTAGGCGTTCAGCTTTTGCTTTGGCTATACGGGAAACTGTTTTTCTCCGCCGATGGTTATTTCTCCACTGGACACTTTATTTCTCTAAGAAAACAAGCCCGAGGTGCGTCGTCCCTTGGACGCTGCTGGTGCTCATAGGCGACAAGGCGCGAGTAGTGCACCTCGAGCAACACCGTGGCCTGTAGATTTCAGCATGCGAGTAGATGGTCGACTAGAGTTTGGAGGCACTGATAACAGTTTTACGAAGCAGGATTTGTTGCATTTGGAATGACTGTCGTTAGTGGCTGCAGACAGAGTTTGTGAGACTCCCTAACCTGCTGGGGTGTTGAGGGGATGGCAGTACATTATAGGGGTGGGTTTCTGAACTCATCTCTACAGACCTTTGGAGTGTTGTTTCGTTTTCATGGGGTTTACTCAGTCAGTGGTTGTCAGCCACACTGCAAACTACTTCTTAAACAAGAACACTGTTCAAACATCCCGTTACAGGACCCTCCTTAAAGATTGTATTGACTCGATGAGCTTTTTGCTGGATAAATAAGATGTTATTTAAAAATCTACTCTGCGCGCTATAGAGAGCATGAGCGTTTGATACTGACGCGAGGCGGGTTAATACACACAACGTGATGCTTGGAGATTTATTCAGGCATTGTGCACGTATGGTGTGTAGTGTTATTCAGCGGTCTGCTTTTAGACCAGTGACAATCAATGGATAGAATGAAAAATGTGTTGCAACTTGCATAGCTCTTACGCCAGTGAGATGTAAAAATGCGCCCTTGTAGAACATTGCAAATACCTAGAGATTAGGTTACACAGTAATTAAATTGCACTGTATATGCAATTATATTTCGCTGCTGTGCAATTCTGTCTTAATTGTACGTTTAAGTTGTATATAAATGCGTATCGCATGCCGTAAAGTATGGAATAAGCAGATAGTTTTCTCACCATTTAATGAAAATCCAGGTTTTGACCTGCATTGAGCTTGAAAGTTTTCAAACTTATTTACAGAACGACGTTGTTGTGCGTTCCGTCTGTCCGTGTTTTGTGTGCGTGTGTTGTATGTATGCTACATGCGATTGTGGTGTATGTGTGTCTGTTGCGCGTCTGTGTCTCCATACATGTCTTCATTATTTCAGGTCCGCTCTGTGGATGAGCTGAACCAGGACTTTCAAGCGCTGGCACTGGAAAGGAGGAGCTTGGGAGATGTAAGGAACATCGCTCAAAGCAACCTTTGCTCCGTAGCATTTAGTAGTTTACCTTGCGAGTGACATGAAGGTTGCCACTACATTCCATGTCTTTAATTTGCATTGCTGATTATTTAGACAATTTAGTTATTTGCCCCCACAGAGGCAAACATCTTAATTGGCAGCCTTCCATTCTATGAATCATGAGTGCAAGAATAGATGTCATTTGAATACCCGCATTTACCCGCATTTTTTTGATAACTGCCTTCTGATTACAAGCAAAACTTGAGCGCATGCATGCATATATTTCCAAAAGTGCATTCAGAAATTAGCCAAGAGTTTGCTTCTATAAATACTCTTAAGCTGCTGTCACGAGAATTGAACCAAATACCGATTGTCGTTATTCATTTTAATATTTTTACAACGATGTTATGCTGCTGATGTGTAAGGTCCATATGATATTTAATTCAAGCTTAGGTTGCTCTTAAAACACAACACAGTATGTTATTAAGTCTTAAATACAATTTTGTTGATGGGAACAACGGTGTGTTTTGCAGTTTCTTTATAAAGCATCCCAGCAAGTACGTATTCTTTATCATCGTGCCATTCAATTCAGAACAGCCAATGGTCATGCTGCGTGTGCTGAATTATTGGCCGCGTCTCCGAACTGAAGCATTTTACTCCACCACAATTAAATTAGGCGATGGAACATGGGTTTTGAATTTGGGTTTAAGCTCCTCGCTCCGATTGTAAACAGGGTTCTCACGTGTAGTGATGTGGTGGTCTTAAAATGGTCGCAAATGACTGCACAAGAAACACATTGCTTTAAATTAGATTTTTTTAATTAACTTTACAAAATTCCACCTTGGAGAATTAAAGATATTGGATGGGCTGCTATGCAACAAAATGTCTTTGTAGCAGGGTGTGTGGAAAAGCGCATCCCGTAGTCTGCGGCTAAAAGGACATTCAAAGGAATATCAGAAGGTGTTTTGTCGTCTCTCCTTCAATCCTTTCTGTAACATGCAGGGCGATGCATGGCATGACACCAATAGTATGTTTGAAACAAAAGCTGTGAGAAGACAAACGTTTTGATATAAATTATTAACAAACTGTTGCATGTCGGCCAGGAACTAATGTGCAGCCGTAGGTGTGTGTGTGGGTCACCTCGTAATGTGGCGGTGAGCAGTAGGGGCTTGCTCTCGACAGAAGGATGCGCGACTGCATGACCTGGTTTAATTTTAACGCCCGTCGCATTCCATACCGCTAACTGAGCCGTGCGTGCGCCGTGCCCCCTTCTCTTGCCCCGCTGCACATCCGACAGCAGCTGCTTCCCAGCAAAAAGTTTTGGGAGACAGATGAGACTGGCAAAGATGGCCCGAAGGGAATTTTCCTGGAAGACCAGTGGAGGGAGAATGCCTGGGGAGCCTCTGGTACGCAGAAAATCTTCTAAACGTGTGCCTGACAAACCGTGTTCGTACGATGCAGAGATGTTTGTGTCAGGTGTAACGATTTAGCTCCCCTCGACAATGTCAAGAATTGTCACGGTTCAGGGTCATTCGCGGGCTCATCCAATATAGCAGTGTGAGTCAATTGAGTATACAAATCCACAATGACAGCACGCCACAAAATGTGTACAATGTTGCTATACTGTTCTGAACAGGCTTCACGGTGTACACAGTGAGTTCTTGCCTGTATCAGGAAATCCGGCAGAAATTGTTTGATAGGTCAGACTGGCAATGAAACTCTAAAAGTTGAAAGCCAGTTCAGAGTTTGCCTGCTTAAATCCAATTCTGATGGACAACATCCGTTCCAGAAGGCCCCTTTGGCTGATTTACCAAATGTAATTTTTGTGGAAAACAGATCCTGTGTCTGTTTATTGAATAAGTTGAGTATTTTCCAGATAGCGGTCACAGGGACGTTGTGATGTCACATGTCACAACGTCCAGCAGATAATGTTATGTTGTCATTTGTATTACATAAATGCGTCTGTGAACATGAGCAAGTCATCCTATGTATGGCTTCACACAGACTAATCTCAATTGCGTACAGTATACGACTAAGGCTACTAAGGGTAAAATGTTAATGCCCAAAACTCAGCCAGTATCCAGGGCAATATAGCCGCAGGAATCCACCTGGTTATTTTATAAGCAACAAAGTTAGTATATAAAAAAGATTATTACACGTTTCAAGACTGCTTCGGTTTACATGCAGGAGAGTTGCGCATTAAATCAGTAGTTGTCATACCATTTTGGTCTGGTTGCCCCTAAATCAAGACCCCCCCGCTGCCCCACTCTTGATCCCCTCATGGATGGCAACCGTCATAGGATAAAACCTGAAAAGGTGGCGGCTGCAGCAGTTATCATGAAATATTCCATTCGATAAAATTATATCGCACGCAATAGCGGCACTTTTGCGCAAACAAAACTACACGTGTTGGGATGTCCCTCTGATACAGAAATCCATGTTTGGCTCAATCTTGCGATCAAGTGTTGGCTGTGGGTACTCTGCAATAATTTCAACTGGATGCGTTGACTGTAACGCATGGGAACATAACTGGTACGCCAACCGGCGTAGGGGTTAAAGCGTTGTTGTTAATGGTGAATAACCACCCGGTGCAGATCACTCGGTGTCCCAGCCCATCATGGTGCAGCGTCGCCCAGGCCAGCCGGGCTTCCAGGCCGGCGGTGTTGGCGGCGGCGGCAGCGAGGTGGGCTCGGTGCTGTCGCCGCGCTCGGAGACCGGTGGCCTCGGTGTCAGCATGGTGGAGTACGTGCTCAGCTCGTCACCTGGAGACAAGCTCGACACGCGTCTCCGCAAGTCCACATACGTACGTGTGCGCGCTCTCGCGCATGTGTGTGCGCGTGTCTTCTGTGGAGGAGAACGTCGGGCGTTATTGTGTGTTGGTCGGCACTCTGCGTGCGTTCTTTGTCCAAGGCTGATGAACGTCACTGTGAACAATACTGAGATTGTCATCGTCGTCATCATTGAGATGATATCAGCTCCATCAACACTAAGGTCGTGGTCGCGGAGACAATTGTCACCAATATCAACACTGAGATTATCGTAGTCATCTCCTGCAAAAACACTGACATCAGCAAGATAACCCCATCACTATTATCAACGCTGAGATTATCATTGAGAAATTCACTGACATCTGCACTGAGATCTTCATGGAGAGAATAATCAGCATCGGCACTTACAGCATTCAACACTGAGGTCATCTAATGAACACGTACAGCCCTTTGTGCAATAATCTACTGGGTGAGGGCCTCTTGATTCATCACTCACACGAGCATTCAGTTGATCAAGAGCACATTAGATCAACTTCGAGTTGACTTTCATCAGCAAGTCAGGATTTCCTCGGCAAGAATACATCAGAGAGAGCGCGCACTGCCAGCGAGTGCTGAGCAAGTACGCGTGCTTGACGGCGACATTCGCTGTCACGCAGGGCACCGTCGAGTGTGACATGTCGGACGGAGACAAGGCGGACAAGAAGGGCGTGAAGGTGGCGGGGTTTGAGGACGACAAGGGCAGTGGCATGAAGGTGGAGGGCGATGGAGACGTGGCGGGGAAGGCCAACGGGCTGGGCCTGCAGAACGGCGTCGATTCGGACGGCAAGGACTTCAGGTGAGATGTGCGCTGGCCCCTTCACTACCTCCCCCCCTCCCGTGGGAGAGCTGTCATAACTTCTCTCCTCCCCCCCCCCCTCCCTCTGCGATTTTATTTCGTGTCCCGATTGTTACGTGTGATCCCTCTCGTGCATAGGAAGCTTTTTCTGGCCAATAAATTTTGCTACCCGCAAACATCTCGGTGCAGGATTCTCCGCCGGCCTTCTCTCGCCCCCCCCCTCCCCCACTATGGTGCGGATAATTGTAATATCTCTAATGGCTGTATGGTGATATGAACCTATTGCAGTATATCAATCAAAAATATATTATGCGTGTGAGAATCGATATTGTTGCTGCATAGGATTTTCGTGATAAAGTGAGACTCCATGAGAGACCACCCCTGATAATTACATTTTCTTTTAGTTGTTTGGTGTTATAATTGGTGTTAATTCGGTTGACACGAGGTGGTACCCTGCTTTTTTCTACGTCATTGTCACCCTCCACAGAAGCATTGATCATTAATTATTGTGAGCATGCTGAGTGGATAATTATTTGTGCCCTGACTTGGATCTGATAACACAATTGTATTGTAATTGGAAGGATCAAAATCGCCTTGGACAAGTTCACTGTTTTAAAATGTAAGTTGACACTTTAATGATGTGGGTAATCAGTATAATCATGGAGTGGCTTTTTACTTGGGAATATTGTCAATCAATTAGTACTCCGATATAAATAGTTTGTTCGTCTTATAAATGGTCATAAAATGCCGCTTTGATGTGCTCATGTCCTTTTTGTTTTAATTAATGATGACAGTAATTATAATAATCATGGAAGCATGATGGTCAGTGGGCAAGAGTAACAAATAGTATTGACAGCCAAAGGAAGGAACACACCCAAGAGAATGTTCACTGCAGAGGTGGATCAATGAGATCAGCTCCTGTACAGATGCTAAGTGGATCGTTGCATCCCAGGACCGTGATAGACGGCGACTGCTTTGGGAGGCCTTCATCCAGCAGCGGATTAATCGTGACTGACGATGAATAATAACAATTTTTCGCCTGCAGCCGGGCCCCTGGCAGCTGTCACTCGTCACCGGCCGAGGCTGTCGAGCGCCTGGGTGTCTCTGGAAACCCCGGGGCGGACCCGATGGCGGCCGGAGTGGGGGTGCCCGTGGGCGTGGGGGGTGGGCCTGGCATGCAGGTGGGTGTGAACAAGCCTGGAGAGGACTACGGCGGCGGAGGGGGAGGTGGCGGCGTTGGCCCCGGTGGAATGGACGGGCAGTCGTTGCCCATGGATCCGTCGGGCATGATGGAGCCCATGGGCATGGAGCCCCTGCAGTTTGACTACACGGGTGGCCAGGTCACCATGGAGTCCGGCGGAGGCAACCCCATGGGGCTGTTTGACTACGGGGCACAGCAGCAGCAACAGCAGCAGGTGCTGACACCACTCGATGATTGCATTACATAAGTTAGAACTCGGCCAGGTGCTTGCTCTAAGGTCTTATAGTTCAATGGCCCTTTTCCAGTTTTCCTCGGTGACTTATGCTTGAATTCGCTAACTATATATTCTCTTTGTTTACTGTAATATTGTCTTTTATTGACCCAGTTTGTATTGTACTCTTATATATGTTCTATAACTCGTTGTCCTCAAATGAAAGTCACTATTTAAGACCAATATAATTTTTTTCTGTCCAAGGAGTCAGAACTGTTTCGTCCGTGCAGATGTTTCACATGTACCGATCGTTTGGGTCGCCCAGCTCTGAATCGACAAAACGCGTGTGGTTCCAGCTTTTTCAAAGGTCCAGTGCTCTGGCGATGCAGCAGCAGATGTCCAGTGCACAGCAGCAGCAACAACAGCAGCAGCAACAGTATACCTTGGCCACTGCACAACAACCACCGCTGGGTAGGCGCCCGCACACCTGTGCAGGACACTGCAATCGTCTTAACGTGCGCGCCCGCTCGTTTGGATTGCAAACACGTTTGCTTACTCTTGCCGCCTCGCGCTCCTGTTGAACAGATTGGAAGTTTCTGCGCATGTCGCGTTGTGCGCAGTTGCAACCTAGACGGCTCTATTTTGCTACTTTGCCCTTCATGATGCAGCCTCTCCTCCTCTCCTTCCACCAATGCCGATATTAATTTGATTCAAATGTAATATTAGATTGGTGGCTATCACAAAGGGAGCTTTTGATGCAGCTAGCTAGCAGAGGAAGTACCATTTGTGCTCTTTAATTTGTTGGAAAGAGAACATGTTAATACTGTGACTAGCGTAATTTTTTTCACAAGCCAGCATTTCCAGCCGTATGCACCTTTTCTTCAAACCAGTACTGCTGCAGTACAAGGTCAGCATGCAGGGACCGGCTTAAACTGGCGAAGACGTCCACTGAATTTTCACCTCTGGCCAAGCGAACATTAGAGGGGGAAGAGGACCTCACTGGGTACTCAACTTGCCAGCCTGTCGTGGGTTTCGCCGCGTGGATTTTTCAGTGTGCTCCGTTTCTGTGGTGTTCCCTTGGTAGGCATGTTTTCAACTGGCCTCGCCCCCGCCTTCATCCCCAACCCGTACATCATCGGTGCAGCTGGTCCACCTGGCTCTGACCCTTACTCATCGGGCTTGGCTGCTGCCACCCTCACAGGTAACCTTGCGTTCGTGGCCTGCCTGCTATATCCCTGGGCTTCTTGTTTGTACGAGTGTGTATCAATGAGGAAAACGGCCTTCTGGTATTATGTGTCTGTGGCATTTCGGTAGTGTGTTTTTTTTTTATCCCCACATTTTGCTGATAGTTGGGAGACATTACATAACCAGCGGTTGGAGGCATACAGTTGTACAACTGAAAATGTTAGAGCATCAGCAAGGTGTTTATTTTTTTGGTTGTACACGGAGTGTTTAGAGACGACTGAAATGTATTGTGTGAAACTACAATATGGTGACAACTATGAATCTTTGCAACGTTTACAAATCAGTTGTATGGTTGCAATGATCCGTGAGAAATTGAATTTTCACAAAAAGTGTTCCTACGAGTATGATACATGTGAATGGGACACTCAACGAAACTGGATCGCATTCATTATACAATCCAGAATATAGTTTTTTTTGTTAGATGGGTTAGATTTTCGTGATCTAACCCCAAAAAACCTCTGGGTAATTTTGGTCGCAAAAGTGTACGTGTTGAACTGTCATTGTTCCATATCAGCCAGATTCCTAATTTAACGCAATAGATGTTTCTATTGCATTAAATGCCACCAATTTGTGAATGTTGTCATGATTCATAAAAAAAAATTATTTGGCCATATATCACGTTCATAATTGGGGGTTTAAAAACCTTTTAGAGGATAACAAAACGACAACGTTGACGTTAACCTTCCCGTTTCTTGGGCTGCCGGATGCAGGTCCCACTGTGGTTCCCCCACAGTACTACGGCATGCCCTGGGGGGTCTACCCCGCCAACCTCCTGCAGCCACAGGCGGCCGCTGCCATGGCCGCCTCCAACAGCGGCAACCAGCAGGGCAACCCGGGTCAGCCCAGCCAGCAGGTGAGCCCTCGTAGTCTCGTGCGCGTGTGTCTCGAGCAATGGTTGCCCAGCGGTGTGTGAGCGTGCTGCCGGCGACCCGAGTTCAATTCCTACTTTTGTGACCAGTAACGCTGGCGAATACTTTAAACTGTCCTGGGCCTCCCATAGGGGAAAAATGAGTGCCTGGTACAGCGTGTCAACGTCAGCACTGGGGAGACAAAGGGGACCGGCCGTGATGTTCGCCACTCTTCCTCTTGTTTGCCATGCCGGCCTTCACTGGTGCTTTCTAACAGCTCTTGTCATGGCAGTCTCTTAAAGGCTATACAAAGGGAGGAAAGGGAGTGGTTTCGTGACGTGAAAACCATCTTTGCGACATAAAAACTGACAAAAACGGTGTTATTGAAACGATAAGTTCACCGAATTATCAGCTCTATATGTTGTATACATCTTAACTATTTTTCTTTTACATTCAAACGAGAGTATCCAACTGGAAAAAACACATTCTTGTAGCCACGGTCTTAATTGCCACACAGGCCCTGCTGCAATGACTGACGTGCTACTTTCATAATGAAGGCTTTTGGGTTAGATCGCGTAAGTATAAATGTGTCGCAACCCTCCACCACCCGACACGGCCAATCAGTAAAAAAAGTGTCACGTTAACAAAACGCCAATTAGTTACTTCTTCAGCCCACCGGTGTGTTTGAAGGGAGAATCCACAACGTTTAGAATTTGAGTACGACTTTTCGCTGGCAATTACATCCAGCATCTTCAGACGATTTGCTAGAATAGTGAAGACATCCACCTGCTTCCGGTCTTAAATAGTACAGGATGACGTCATCATTGAACCCCCATCAGGTTTACGAGATCAGAGGTGGGGAGGGGTGGTTGCGACACATTTATTCTTACGCGAACTAACCCAAAAACCTTTATTATGAATAATACTGGTCGCGAAAGCCTACGCGTTAAACTGCTGTGCAACTTTAACGTCGTGCATGCGCGTGTGCTTTTAAAGATGCTGAGGGCTGGGAGTGGCCAGCGACCTATGACCCCTAACCAGAGTCCTCAAGGCCAGCAAGGGGACGCCATGGGTGCAGTGACAGCTGGACAAGCTCTCGCCTTCGGACCGGGCCTCACCACAGGCGTACAAGGTGCGACGCGCACTCCTTTATCAACCCCCTCCAACACTTACTCAAACTCGGGAGTGGCTGTGTGCGTGCACTCGTGCACATACGTGTGTGTCGACATTAATGTTGATAAAAATGTGAGGGTTCACCCCTTCACTTCCCCACGTAATCTGATGGGTTTTCACGATTTTGGGGTCAAATTATTTAATCCAATTATTTAGTTGTCTTTTATTTTTCCGTGTGAACTCCCTCGTGGGTACTACCTGTCTTGTTTGTACTGTAAGGTTATCTTTTTGTGTTGACTTTCTAGTACTTTTCTCAGTTCCGCATTATTTATCACATTAGCCTAAATTAACAAAAATATTTGCGTACAAATTGCATGAGTTGTCAGACACACGATGCGATGTATATATTGTGAGCGTAAGGAGGAGGGGGAGGTGTGGATGCATCATCTGAAAGAAGTTACCAAAGTGGATGAGCAGGAACACTAGGAGCGAATGGAATGACACGATTGTCTGCGTTGCATTGACACGCGGCGCATGATGGATGGTTATGATGATGGGCATCTACATGATCCATTGATCAATTTATTTTGAAGATTTTATAATATATGCATTGGATTATACGTAGGAAAATAAACTATGTAAGATCTGTAAGAATTATACGCAAAAGCTATGCGAATGTTACTTTGAAGCAAATTGAGCCAACAAAAGCTATAAACAAAACGCAAATGAACAAATTACAATTGAGAATGTCAAAAGAACAACAAAGAATCCCAAAATCGACCCCTGAATTTGTTAACGATAACATCGAATCGCTGAGGAACGGGGGGGGGGGGGGGGCGGAGCCGCTCCGTGCCAAACACGGGCTTGTCGCTCGCCGTGTGCCCGTGTAATCACCGAGCTCGCTGCCCCCAACCCCCACGGCACAGGCTACCAGGTGCTGACGCCGGCGTACTACGACGCGTCGGGCGCGCTCGTCATGAACCCCGGCGCGGGCCGCTCCAGCCTGGGCGGCCCCGTGCGCCTCATGGGACCCACGCCCGTGCTCATCAACCCCTCGGCGGCCGCGGCCGCTGCTGCCGCGGCAGCTCAAGCCGGTAAGACACCGGCCCCCCTCCCCCCCCCTCGTGCCACAACTCCACACTACCGCCCCCTTCACGCCCCTCGCACCCCCACGACCCACGTGGCTTGGAGAGTTCCTCATCTCACAGTAGATTGACAACGTTTATATTCTTGGTTCTTTCGGTAAAGTCACGTAGATAGAAAATAAAAATAACATTTTATTTAAAATAAAAATAAACCCACGACTTTTCGATCGCAACACAAGCGGTCTTCATCAGGCGGAGAGAAAAGAGGGGGAAAGCTGCTTATATAAGGGTTTCCAAAGTGAGTGGGCGGGGGACGGGAGCTGGGAGGAGGAGGGCATTGCTTTACATTGTTTCGCATGTAAAGAGTAGCACAGAAATGGTTTCCTATCTGCATGTATTGATGGTTAATCTCACATGCAAGAGGAGATGTAGTTGTTTGACCAGTGGTTCTCAACTGAGGGTACGCAAACCCCTAGGGGTACTACGTGGCAATGTCCCAGGGGGTACGTGAGGGTGATTTATAAATTTGTGAAATTATGTCACGCTTGAGAGTCCTTCGTGAATAATCATGAATGAATCTGCCAATATAACATAACTACAATGAAATGTAAATCCTTATCGTAACCTAGAACGATATAAAATACCTTTCTAACTCATTGATTGGAAACAATGCGGTATCCAAGAGTGACCAGCGAGTGCAAACAAATAACGGCACACGTGCAGGGTGTCCACCGAATTTGTTTTATTCCCTTGCAGTTACTAGCTAGTTCGAATACCTAACAAAATGTGTAATTGGTTCAAATATTGATGTTCATTATTCATACATTCATTTCTCAACCATGTAGGGTCAGACAGTTGCCAAACAAGGTTGAGAACCACTGTACATGCAGACACTAGTATAACGGCTCCTATCGTCCACATATTTGCTTATCCGCTCACAACGTCCGACCACATCACGGATGAGAAGATTTTTTCCACCGCTTTCACAACTTGCTTCGCACGCGGCAGGCGGTGGCGCTGGTGGAGCCAGCGGTCTGGCCGGCACCATCAACGGGCTGTTCCGAGGCGTGGGCCTGTCCAACCAGCATCACCAGCACCACCAGCAACAGCAGCAATCCCAGCAGCAGCACCACCACCAGCAACAGCAGCAGCACCAGCAGCAACAGCAGCACCAGCAGCAACAGCAGCAGCAACAACAACAACAGCAGCAGCACCACCAGCAGCAGCAGCACCAGATGAGCAACGCGGCCGCCGCCGCAGCGGCCGCTGCCGCCCAGGGCCACCCGTCGGCGTTCTACGGCAACCACGGCGGCGGGATGGGAGGGCCGCTGTCCAGCCCGTCTCAGGGAGGTGCCGGCATGTCGGGCGGCGGGGGCGGCGGCGGCGGCGGCGGCGGGGGCGGAGGATCGCTGTTCTCGCCCGGCCCGTCGCCCGGCGCCCACCAGCTCGGCAACGCGGGTTCACCGCTCGGGGGAGGGTTCGGCAACCACAGCGGCCCGACACAGGCGTCGCTGGGCGCCAGCATCGGCTCCGGACTGGGCTTTGGCAACACCGGTCAGTGCAGCCACTAGAAGCTTCAGCGTTTGTCAGGTTTTCCTGCTGGGTGGTGTTGCGGTCACGGTTTATGCCAGAATTTGTGGGATTGGCAGTGCAGTTCAGATTGCCAGGAGGTGGCAGTAAAGCAGGGGATTCTTGAATCCATCCGCGCAGAGCTTTTTTTTATTGTTTTCATGTCGTAGGTACAGCCCCTCTTGTGTGTTGATTAATATTTTTTTTGGGTCAGATTTTTTTTTATCTAGTGTGCTCTCATGTGCCAAACTCCTTTACGGAGTTAGTTAAACATCCCAATGCAGGATCCTCGTGAACAAAGTCTTGAGACTTGAAAGTTTTCCTGGATTAAAAAGGTCAATTATTTAAATTATTTCCAGTTAACTGGCAACAGATTTTTTTCAAGTAGAAGGTATTTTCTAAACTCTTGGTTTAATTGCTTGCCCAGTGCAATTGGGTAGTCTTTTACAAAAACATAAACGTAAGTAATTTTATATCTAGAGGGGGCAAAGAGCACGGTCACATTATGCAAAAAGTCCTTGAATATTGCATGCTTAATAGCACATGATGCCATTTGCATGTATTTTAGAATGTGGGTTTGCAGTGAAAGGGCCCAAACTTTATCCATTAAACCCTTCTACGGACCTCATTAATATTCATGAACGTTTATTTGCCTATGTCTAGGGATGGAAATACTGCGCGCACATTAATATTCACGGCGACGTGCCCTTTAACGAGGTCGCCGTGCGTAGCGAGGTGCGTTCATGTCTTCCGTGTCGGCCCGACTTAGTTTTGCGAGACAAACCTGGCCGTTGAAACGTGGAGCGCCAGCCCGCGCGACGTGAAGACATATCGTTCCGCTATATCCGCAGGCACGTCCGCCGCAAGCGGAGGGCCGCTGGGGTTACGACGTGACTCGCTGGGCGCAGCCCTAGACTATAAGCGACCCAGCAGCAGCCTGGCACCTATCGGGCAGCCCTTCTACAACGGCCTGGGATTCTCCACCTCGCCCGGACCACTCGGCATGCTGGGAGCCAGCCACGGACCACCCCACTCGCTCACTCCGCCGCCCTCGCTGTCCATCCCCTCGCATGGATCAGCGTCCAACCTCAATCTTGGCTGGTCGCCAGCCTTAGGTGAGTTTGCCCGCCTCTGCGCAAATCCGCTTTACCTGCGTACGGCTCGTGCCCACATAAAACGTTTGTTGTACTGCGTGTATATGTGCTCGACACAATTGGGTGCTGCATGGCAGGTGCCTTCAGGAGGCAGAACAGCATGGATTTGTCTGGTATTATATACACGGAGTTTGAGTCATTACAAATTGTTTTTTTTTAGAGGGCATGATCTGACGAGGAGAGCGGAGAAAACCCGCTCTTAGTGGTAGAACTGACCACTGAGACAACAGCTTCTGCCAGCTATGAGTCGCAAAGCGATAGGCATTGAGCCAATACTGCTGAGTGTGCAACACTGCATACTCTTAGCAGGGCTTGCAGGCCATTCATCACCCATTCATCGCGGTGAATTGACAACAGCTTCAGACACGGCCGTAGTAGCGACGTTGAGCCAATGGCACTGCCAAACCCAGTAATTTTTAATCGATGGACTTTTAAAGCACCACTGGCGCCTCTCCAGGCGACCCTGGCATGCGGACTCGTGCCAACCGCCGCGATCTCCTCCCCAGGGGGTCTGACGAGTGGGAGCGGGCGCTTCGTGTCGGCGGCGCCAGGTGCCGAGGCCAAGTTCCGCAGCTCGGCCGGCATGGGCGTCGGCGTGGGCTCCGCCTCGGCGCTCTTCGGTAACTCGGGCAGCCAGCTCTTCCCGACCCAAGCAGCGGCCGCCGCGGCCGCCGCCGCCGCCGCGGCCGCCGCGGCCGTCAGCGGGGGGAGCGGCAGCGCGGCGGGTGGGATGTGCGGCGTGGGCGGCGGAGCTCCGGCGATGCGGTTCCGTTACTGCGGCGGCGGCGGGGCCGGAGGTGGCCCTGGCGGTGGCGGCGGCGGCGGCGTCGGCGTCGGGGGAGGCGTCTGCGGCGGCGGTGGCGTCGGCGTCGGCGGCGTTGGAGGGGGACCCGGCGGGAAGATGGACGGACTGAACCCTGGTCGCAGTCGCCTGCTGGAAGACTTCCGCAACAACCGCTTCCCCAACCTGCAGCTGCGAGACCTCACGGGGCACATTGTGGAGTTTGCTCAAGACCAGCACGGCTCCAGGTGAGGGTGACACCCCACGGCCAGGAATGCTGTGAAGGCCACGATGTACGAGGGACATTTTACGGCAAATCATCGCTGGCAGCCGTCACTGCCAGGGCATTTTGCTGTGAACGGTTATGGCAACTTGGTACGGCAATCCGATTCTGACAGATCTATCTACCCAACGAAAAATGTGTTTTTTAAATGTGGTTTGTGAACATCAATTGATTTACAGAACACACATCCACGGGTATTCATGCGACCGTTGTCACATGATTGGAAGTTGTCCTCATTTGTGGGCAAAAGTATATTTTTTACGATAAAAATATCGCAGTAACTTTTGCCGGTGGTTAGCTGAAACCAAGAAATAGGTAAAATGATCATTTGCTGATTTATTTAGTCTGGGCAATGAATTAAAGGTGCTGCTGCATTCGGGCATGCTTCCTCTCGTGTGTGGCCGCCACAGTCATATCTGTATCCAGTATCATCAGGCTCATGATGACGACGTGTTCTGGTCTATAGCTGTGGCGTGAGGGCCTTGCATAGCGCTCTGCTCCTCCAGCAGCCGAGTGACCAATAGATGCTCCACGATCTGTCTCACACCACAGTTCCGTGTGTCGGTGTCATTCAGAGTAGCCGGCTTCCGTTTGAAGCAGATTTAGATTGACACCTGTTCCTGCGGGAGATGCTCGAGGGCGTGCCGGATCACTCGGCACCCGTACATCTGCGGCGCTAGAGGCAGCTGGAGGATGTGTTGTCCTTCCCCCGCACCTCCGATTAGCACGGTTGGCTACGTACGGTGTGAAAAGGAGTTCAACGTACGTGCATACGTAGACGCGTCCAGGTTGACCGATGTCTCTGCACCAGCGACGACGAGGTGTTCGGCATCGGTCGGCGCGCGCTTTGACGTCCGTTGCTATTGCGTCGAGACGTCGCGCCTGTTGCTTGCTTGCTTGTCCGCTCGTCACAGTTTTGTTCATTCACCCCACCCCCTCGTCTCTCCACCACCGCCCAAGGTTCATCCAACAAAAGTTGGAGCGCGCGGGGCAGGCGGAGCGACAGCTGGTCTTCAATGAGATCCTGCAGGCCTCCTACCAGCTGATGACCGACGTCTTTGGCAACTACGTCATTCAGAAGTTCTTCGAGGTGAGCAGTCGTCGAAGGGAGAGAGAGGCAAGAAAGATCTCCGTTTCATCATTGTGGGTTGCCATCGTTTGGCCAAAATCGGCGAGGTTCCCCCCCCTCCTCTTGGCAACCATAAAAACGGTAAACAAAAACTGTTGTTGAAGGTATAAGTTCACTGAATTATCAGCTCCATACATTGTATTTATCATATTTTTTTTTACATTTAAATGAGCTTCCAACTAGATAAACATTCAGAAAATACACTCCCAACTAAAAAGAACAGCAGCAACCAATTAGTTTTTCAGATTGATCTTCAAGTTTCTCGCCTTAATGTCACTACAAATGAAAATCCAATAATGCCACTCGAGGTCCTTTCCCGCCCTCTCGATCCCTTGTTGCCTTTCCCAACTGCCCTGCTGACATCTGCCTATTTGCCCACCTCCCTCCCCCACCCCCACTACCCACCCCCCACCTTCCCGCGTTACTAGTTTGGCAGTCTGGAGCAGAAGCTGGCGTTGGCACAGCGCATCCGTGGCCACGTGCTGCCCCTAGCGCTGCAGATGTACGGGTGCCGAGTGATCCAGCGTGCCCTCGAGTCTCTCCCGCAGGAACAGCAGGTATCAATGACATGTTTAGGGCGCTGACACTTTACCTGTAACCAAGTGTGGAAAGGCTAGATTCGGAGTGGTGTCCAGAGGTCCTCGTCGAAGAGGAGCAATGAAACGAACAAGACTGTTAAGCTGGGTCCACACCGGAGCAGTCCATCGTTTGACACCGCTTAAATTGCTCGCAATCAACGCAACTTAATTGCCCGCAGCAACCGGTTATTTGATTCTTCGCAACTAGTTGCAGGGACGTCCACGTAGAAGTCTCGCAGTCCCACGCCTACATCTGGCAAGCCCTGGTGGTCACCCATCCTAGTACAGTACATCCTAACACTGACCAGGCACGGCCTCGCTTTGGGGAAGATGGTCATTGGCGTGTACAATACAATCGATATGATTTCTATCATGGGACCTTTTTGCCAGTATCAAAGTATGATGATATTAATTGAACAATCAATGCGTTGTGATATGTTCAAGTGCCGAGCGGTCGTCATTATCTGGCGGAGGAGAGCAGCGTTGTAAATTGCGCCTAATGCGTCTTTGCGCCATGCGGGCGGTGCAGACAGAGATGGTGGCCGAGCTTGACGGACACGTGCTCAAGTGCGTCAAGGATCAGAACGGAAACCACGTCGTTCAGAAGTGCATCGAGTGCGTGCAGCCGGTGGTGTTGCAGTTCGTCATCGACGCCTTCCACGGACAGGTAGGCTCGCCTGTCACGCGTGAGTCTGTCCGGATGTCGTTTTGGAAATCGGGTTAAGTGGTGGGCCAATGTTTTGTGGGTAATGGTCAGTCCTTAAAGTAGATTCATTTTTAAATCCTTTATATTAAGTTCGCTTGCTTGCTTACGTGCTTGCTTGCGTGCTTGCTTGCTTACGACTGTGCAAATCTTTCGGTCGTTTTTTAACCCACTTCCCGTGATCCAATCGAGCTGACATTTTCCACACAGACTCGTAGTGCGAGACAATTAATGTTCGTGAAAAAAAATTCCCATAATTTTACACTTTTTAGGCAAAAAAAATTATTTTACATATATTCAAATAGAACTCATTCATGGCTTTGGCTGAACGTCATAGTGTAAGAGCCCAGAGCGTAACCCCTCCACAGGCCGTGGCGGAGTAGCGCAGTTGGTAGCGCCCTCGCTTCCCATGCCAAAGGTCGCGGGATCGATCCCCGCGTCCTCCACAGGTGAATATATTTTTTAATCCTTTATATTAAGTTCGCTTGCTTGCTTAGGACCGTGCAAATCTTTCGCTCGTTTTTAAACCCACTTCCTGTGATCCAATCGAGCTGACATTTTCCACACAGACTCGTTGTGTGTGACAATTAATTTTCGTGAAAAAAAAATCCAAAATTTTACACTTTAGGGAAAACAAATTAAATATTTAATTACCAATTGCTTAATGGTGGCAGACAATCATCTGACCCATAGGTGGCAGCCATCTCAAGCCAGAGGATGAGAGGACTCTAGCCGCCACGCATATAAAGGATTTATAGTGAAAAACTTTGTTTTTACGGGTTTACTTGTTAGGTAATGGCTTTTCAGAGAAGGCAATGACCTTTCTGCAGACTTGGCAATGGCCCTTTCGAGCAGGCTACTTCAGAAACCTACTCTTTCTGTAAACATAATGCCTGATTGTGTAGCACATTTTAAGTATCATCAGTGAATATACAATTCAAGGAATATTCAGTCACCAAATCAAAAAACATTTTATAAGGCTGTTCAACACACAATCGAAGCTTTCATCAATGAGAACGATTATTGAAAGTAACAATAAACGTTACAGTCCCCTCTAGTGGTGCAAATGGGCATAACGCCCGCAACACGCGCGTCTTTAACTTCTTATCGCGTCTCTTGAACGAAGCTTCAAGCTTTGCGCCTCGCAGCTCCGGGACAGAGGGCGTTGGGCAAACGTACAAGCCTAACACAGGCTCTCTATGTCAAAGTTTTGCTCGCTCTGCGTCTTTTAATAATACGTGGTACCGATCGGTACGAAAATTCTGCTCGCTCACAAAAGGAACGAACTAATTCGTCCTCGTACACCCCCCCCCCCGTAACTCCTCGCTGGATCCGCGTGCGAAGGTGTTTGCGCTGTCGACGCACCCGTACGGATGCCGCGTGATACAGAGGATCCTGGAGCACTGCACCCCGGAGCAAACTCTCCCCATCCTGGAGGAGCTGCATCAGCACACGGAGGCTCTCGTGCAGGTGGGAGCCCTCGCCCATGAGCGCAACCGTCGGTTGTTTCAAATATTCCTGTGGGTGTGTGTGTCGGCGTGTGCCGTTCCGGCCTTCATAGGTGCTTGCTAACAGCACTTGCTCCCCCACTTTTAAGGCAATACGGGGGATCTTTGTGTAAGTGAATAACATGTTTAATTCGTCCATAATGAGAGGTTTTTTTTCCCTGGGTTAGAGCGCGTAAATATAAATGTGTCGATAAACCCGGCACCACCCGACACAGCCAATTAATTAATAAGGTTCGTCACCTCAACAAAACGTGCCAATTCCTTATTCGTTCAGCACACCCGATGTCTTGTTGAGTAATCCCAAAAACACAATTCGGTAATTACAACCAGCCTCATCAGGCGACAGCCAGAGTTGCATATCGCCTGCTGTGACGTATTTTAAATACACACACACACACACTGGAAACGTGGACACTGGACATTGCTTACTATTCTTCTCCGTCTCCCCCTCCACGTTTAAATCTTCGTCTTCCCCAATTTGCACGAGGTCCCCAGCCCGGGATTGTTTGTCCCGGTGACGTTCTGTACCCCATTGTTGGAACTTTTCGGTGTGGTATGCCCGGGGCTCACGTGTTGTTATCAAATAAAAAAAAACACGCGCAACTTAGTGAACGCTTGCTCGCAAGTGACAAAAAATGTAATAACAAAAAACCTAAAATGCCGCAGCTCACGGTTTTTAACATTGAATCGCGTCGTCGCCGGCAGGATCAGTACGGCAACTACGTGATCCAACACGTCCTGGAGCACGGGCGGCCCGAGGATAAAAGCAAGATCGTGGCGGAGCTCCGGGGGAAGGTGCTCGCGTTGAGCCAGCACAAGTTCGCCAGGTACGTTATGGCCCGCAGCTAAGCAGGGCGGCCCGCACCACCACCGCGCTGCGTCTGACCTGTTGACCAAATCGCAAGGGGTACCGCGAAATTGGCTACTTTGTGTGCGCCACGTAAAAAAAGGAGAACGCAGCTTTCGTGGAATTTAAGACACGCATGGGAGATGTTTAGCTTTCATTGTATCCAATTGGGCATCGATTTGCGACCAAAAATATTTTTTTTTTACGCTCGTGATAATGTGCGTTGAAGTTTGCGCGTAAGAATGGATTGTCGACAGATGATGGAAATATTCAGCTTAACTGCTAATAATATATTTAGGCTAACATGTGAAATGATAACCTCACTAACAAGACTAAAAACGAGACAAGACGGACGTTCTTCAATTGTATCTTTCCATCCCAAATGCCGAGGCTTGTTAATTACGCCTTGTGTCCATTGTAAGCGTTTGACAAAATAATACGTAGAAACAAGGAAGGAATAAGCATATGATAGCAATCTATCATGCATGTTAGAAAGCATTACAGAATACATGCAAGTGCATACATTTTCCCCAATACGTATTCAATTATCATTGGTAGCAGTATGTGCTGCTTTGGAATCTCCTCCCAGAGGCTGTTCTTCCAAACTCTCATAACCTTGCTCAATGAAGGCAACAAATACATTCTTAACTATTACAAGTGCAACACTACTCTGTCTATGGGACATTTTTGCCAGTATCAAAACTGATTAAAAATAAGAATAGTCTTTATCACATTCTGGCTAGAAAACAGGAGGTGTTAGGATGTTCAAACACCACATAGATACCTTTTGGAGGGCATCACGTCTGCATTAACCACACATACTTATGGCAAAACATGCAAATAAACATGCTCTGATCATGTATGGCATTGTCTTTGAAACGTATTGACCGACACCAGCAACAGCCTTCTCCATGGCCTTGTCTCACCAGTGTCAGACCAGAGAACACCAAAAGGCGAAACAGTACAGAGACAATTCAAGAATACTTATAGCTCGGATTGAGCAGTGAATGCACGCTTGATGCCTTGCAAAAGTTATCCGGTGTTCGAACGTCTTTCCACCTGTTTTATTGCCAGAAAGTGTTAAACCTGTTCATAAATGTTTTGAACAATGCTGTTTATTTGGGTCTCTGGAGCCTGTGCTCAACCCACCGTGATATAATAAACCAAAAAAGACGGGACCGATAATTAACAACGTTCAATTGGGATTCCTCCCGTCGGCAGCAACGTGGTGGAGAAGTGCGTGTCGCACTCGTCGCGTGCCGAGCGAGCCATGCTGATCGAGGAGGTGTGCGCGAGCGGCGAGGGCTCGCACGGACCGCTCTACGCCATGATGAAGGATCAGTACGCCAACTATGTTGTGCAGAAGATGATCGACGTTGCCGAGCCTCCGCAGCGCAAGATCCTCATGCACAAGGTGACGGGGCGGCGGAGGTTTTTGAGGGGTTAGGGTCGAGGGAGGGCGGGGGGGTTAGTCTGTTGCTGTCCGTGTTCAACAGAAAATTAGCGCCTTTAGGAAACGGTGGCAATGCCTGGGTCGATCGTCGCCAGCAGTCGTCGCCAGCAACGTATTTAATACAGCAGCTGGTTAAGAGAATGGGGTTTGGACGAGGCGATGGAAAGTGGCTTTGGTCAACGGCGCACAGCCTTGGATAGTCACGTTGGCATCTGTCTTGCGACTTGATTGTAAATTGGCTAAGCTGCCCACTCGGTGAAAAGGACGATCGTATACGATCAAATTTTTGCCGACTAAATTTTTTGCCCTACATATTTTTCCCCGAGTGCATCCACGGCATGAAGGTCTCCGAAGGTTTTGTTGACCGGCCGCCGCCCCTCCCCCACCTCTCCCTGCGCTTTCCCGTGTGCAGATCCGGCCCCACGTGGCGACCCTGCGCAAGTACACGTACGGAAAGCACATCCTGGCCAAGCTGGAGAAGTACTTCCTGAAGAACAGCGCCGATCTAGGGCCCCTCGGCGTGCCCACGGCCAACGGCATGATCTGAAACAGCGGCCGCCACCCACCCGTCGTCCCCAGCACCCACCCGCCATTGCCCACTCTCACGGGGCTTTATTCCCAGGCCGAGCAGGTGAAAGGGCAGCCTTTCTTTTGCTCCGTCCTGCCTTCACCGTCGACCTGTGAGAGAGCTCATTAGAAAGGACCCCACTCCCCCCCTAAACGTCCCAGTGTAAAATTAACCAGTGTGTTACTTCCCGAGGTAATGATTTTCCTTTCTGTACATTATTATTTTTTAATATAAATAACCATCACCAAGACAAAACCTCTCTTGGTTCTCTTACTCCTGCCCACTCGCCACGCGATTCCTCCCAAGCGGCTGCGGCGGAGTTTGGTTTTTTAAAATCTCTCGCGCGAGCGTTTCGTCGGCACCAGCGCCGCGCGTGTTTCCTTTCTTTCACACGCCGGCGGTCCTCGCCGCTTGACCAATCGGCGCCTCCGTGTAGAAGCCATTTGTAAAATAGGTTTGTACATTACATTGGCCCCCGCATTGGGCACTGAAGGAGACGTTTAAATCTTTAACCCACTCAGAGTTTGCCCACACAAACGGCCGCTTGCGAGGGCGATGCTCGGCGCGCCACTCACAGCCTTTAAATTGAGTAGCGTTTAATTTTACCCCGCGTTAACCTGTAACTAGATTGTCCATTTTTTCATAAGTTTGTAAAGAAATTTTGAGATTTGCAGTACAAGTTTTTAGTCGTAGATTTGCGTATATTTGAGGTTAAAAAAATTTGTACAAAAGCATCGGTTTGTGGTTTATTGTAGTGTCCATAGTGAGAAAAAAAAACACAACATATTACATAGTTTGTGAATTGCTGTACATAACAAAAAGGCCAGGAGAAGAGTGGGTGTTAAGTGGTTCCTTACATGTGCTAATGTCCAGGGAAGCTGACTCGTGTTAAATGTCTTTGTAAAACTTGTCAGATGTTTGGACTCGATTTTTCAACAACAGATAATGCATATTCACGCGGTCTTCAACGAGTGGTCTCTCGGCTTCTCCCCCCCCCCCCTTCCGTTGGTTCCCGGACCACCTTGTGCGAGTTTCACCCGAGCGTCGTCTTGTAGTTGCGGCCCCCCCCACCCCCACTGCGTCTGCCAACTCGTGTCAGGCCACAACCGCGCGTGGCCGCTGAGGCCACACCGATTTCGCTCGACAGCGTGGCCATTCGGACTTCGTTCGGAGGGCGTCGATTGAGTCGTTTGCATTTTTCGAAGACTTTTACCACCTATCGCTGTACACGTGTAAAGGTTCGTGTGGTGTGTGTGTGTACATGTGCGCTTGCCAAGCATACATATATATTTATACGTATACATATGTATTTTTTGGGGAGGGGGGCACGCGTTCGCCACCGACCTTTACGGGGTTACTTTGACCACCACAAGCCTTCCGTGCTTGCCTTCTTGAAAACATGGGAGAAGAAAGAAAGTTTGAAAACGAGACGACAGAAACAACACGTTGCGTGTAGTCGCGGGAGATTATAAGAGGAGATGCGTCGACCTCGGACATTGGATTCGTTGCGAGTGACGACGAACGTGTGTCGCATGTTCTGCATCTTTCCACACCGCAGCCCCGAGCGGTGCGCACAGACATTGATTTGACCTCAAAAGGAAGTGAGGGATTTTTAAACATTGGCTTCTTTTTGTCACCGGTGGGTAGAGGAGGGGGAGGGCAATCGAACCCAGGGGGTGATGCATGGTACTGCGTGGTTTCAGTAGTAGCAGCTTTTTGCAACTTGTGAGGGTGTTTTCTTATTTTTTTGTAATTCACGGTTAACATCCGGAGAAGGGGATCTCGCTCTGGGCTGTCATTGTCATCATCCAGCATCTCGTTGGAATGACGACGCCAATTCTTTTTTTCCCGTTCCACCCCTAACCCCCCCCCCCCCCCCCCCCGAGGCTGAATGAGGTGTTGGGGTTTGCTGCTTTTAAACCACCTTCAAGCCAGCCCAGCCCGGCTGGGGGGGTGGGTGGCAGGGCCTGCGTATCGAGGAAGAATCGACCGGTTCGGCCTCCTATGGGTCTCGAATTGGGAGCCGACTTTGAGCCGTTGTGCTTTGCGTGCAGCCCCCCACAACGCACCTTGACACACCACGAGTTAGCCGGTCCCGATGCCGCCGTTTCGTTGGCACAATTTATTTTGTAATATCTCAGTGGCCAGCAGAGGGAAAGCCCCAAGTCTCTAACCCTTCTGTCCTGCAGTGTCGTTTTTTCGCAGGTCTGTAAGCATTGTGTAGGATCCTAAGGCGTGTTGTTAACTTAGATACCATACATATATAGAAACCACGTTGGATTTTTATGTAATCTGAGATTGGATGCATTGTTAATTGTAGTATTGTATGAAATATATTAATCATGCTTGGGCTAATATTATTTTCTTCCCTGTATACAGTGTATGATGTCTTATTATGTATGAATAATACTGATGGTAATCAAAACAAACACTTGGTGTATGTTAGAGGTGCACAGTGTAATAATTAACATGATTGTACATTATATTTGTATACATTGTAAACCGGCTTACTGTATATGTGAAAATCTTGCTAAAAAAAGAAAAATGAAAAAACAAACAAGCCAAGTTTGAATGCTGTGGAATCCTACATGTTGATGTACATTCTCTTATCTAGCTGTAATGTGGTGTAACATAAATTATACCCAAGTAACTTGAGTGGACATTTTTCAAGCTTTGTATAACTGAATGGGAGTCGTTCCCCTTTCGTGTCAATACTCTCGTGTAATTTTATTCTTTATCACTGTTAATACGTTTCAGATTACATTTTTGTTTGGATTTTTATCATGGTTCGACTGCTGTGCATATACATAGTTAACGTTTGGCTTTATACTTTGCTCACCCCTTCTCTAACGTAGTTACCATGGAAAAAAATATAATGTAATGAATTTATTTCCTTGTAAAATCGGTGCCGATCCGGCTATATAAAGCGATGTACAGGAGGGAATTTGAGTTTAAAAGAAAAATGCACTCAACTATCTATATTCACCTTTTGCTTTCATCTTGGATTCGCGGTTCATTTTCAAAAGGGCACGGAAAGTTTCTGGTTTTTCACCCTCCCCCCTCAAGACTGTTTTGAGTACGAAACCTATGACCCGCACGCGCTGCTCGTCACCGGCGTGGCCACTTTACGGCTCTTTCACGAACAAGAACACCACCACCACCGAAACCTAAAATACGCGCGGAAAGTTACGAACCGTTCCAAGTGAAAAAGAGTCCGCTGTGTAAATGGATGCATGCCCGTGAATTCCTTATCGTGGCTGCTACCGGTGCCCGCTCGCCCGCCCTATTTGCTTTGTGAACGTGGTGATGTGCGCACGTTTTGGAACGCATCAAAAGCGAATCCCACCCATCTCTCTGGCCTTGTCTTAAAAATTCAATTGCACCGTGCGTGTGCGTGCGTGCGTGCTGAAACTTGGAAGAAATGAAATTAAAACGTCCCCCCCGCCCATAATATTTGCCATCTTCATTTTGGGGACTCGCAAACACCGTTACGTGTCACGTACGTGTTAAAGGCTTCTTTGTTTCCATGGCAACTATTTTATTTACACAAAAAACCCCCACGTATTACTGTAGTCAAATGGAGCCACGTTTTTCAACCCAGTGCCGTCTGCTTTTTGACCTCAATTTCACGCTTTTTTTTCGCTCACCAAGCAACGATACTTATTAATACTGTATTAATGATGTATTAGTGATGCGTTGAGTATAAATTACGCTACTAATAAAGAAAGGAGAAAAAAACCCTCGGTTGTAACGATTTTGATTTTATTCGCTTGTGTGGCGTTGGTCGCTGGGGTGCGAGTGGCATTGGGCTCCATTCCCACAACCTGATCAATGTTTCGGGTGTTGGTGAGCATCGTTATCAACCATGCTCTCTCCGTTGCAACATAAATCCAAAAGTCATCTCGTGGTCCCACGATGCCAATTGTCCATCTTGATGTTGCTGCACAAGAGATGATCCCATTTTCTCCATCTGCTTTTGGGGTCTTAATTCCCGGTTTTGGATCGTTCGACTCATGCCATTGTCAGCCTCAACCATCGGTCATCATCGCACTCTTCTTGAGTCGTCTCTAATTTGCATTGATGCATGTGTTCCTCTAAGCGTAATACCAACCATGCATCTTCACACTTTTCAGCATTTTTATTTGCTTCGTAGGTGTCTGATCTCGGTCTTCCTGGGGTAATAATGACAATTGTGAAATGTTTTTAGACGAATGTCCTTTATTTTGCGGTCGCCCAAATCTGTATCCCGAGCTTGTCTTTATTCAGGTACCATCAAAATACGTTTTGATTCCTGAGAAGAAATGAATTGTGGTATGTTCGAGTCACTGGCTGACCAAACGAATCCTGCTGTGTCCGCCTTTCTCATCAGATCTGACACGAAGCAGCATCTTACACAAAGGGAGAAACTTGTGTGTCTCGCCAGCAAGCGTAGCAGGCGTGGGACTGCGAGTTTGCCAATAAATTGCATTTCTGTTCTTGCCCTCATGCTTGTGGGGTTTCTCCAGGGTTTTCTGGATTCCTTCCACCACGACTGCGGGGGGAGTTGAAACATTTACATCTGTGCATCACCGCCAGGTGCAATCCGCATCTACTGCTGCCACGGTTTGTGCAGTTGATGCGGTTTGGGCTGAACCACGGGTATCGGTGGAAGATCAAAACCCAGGGAGTGAGGTTATTGGCTGTGGTGGTTATGCCTCAAACATTGACTTGCACGTCCCATGGTTCCGTTCTGGGTGGCCACAGTCGCATCAGCTTCCCCGTGAGACCGTCTGCGTCGGGTCTGTAAATTTGTAAAGGTAGTACAGGGGAAGAGCGGTCACAGGGGGGTAATGACAGGGGAATTGGCATGGGAAGAGACGAAGGGCCACAGGGGGGTAATGACAGGTGAATGGGCAGACAGGGAAACGATCTGGCGTCTACGAGAAGGATCGAGAACAGGGGCTGTGGCCAAGTGATGGAAGGGGGCACGTGCGGATCAGGGACCGAGAGAAAGGACGTGGCCACGGGTCAAGGGAGATGGCCACGCTGAGGATAAAAGGAGACGAGGAGAGGCTCGGAGCTGCTGTTAGAGTCGGGGTCTTCGCCTGTCGAGTGTGCGTGTCTTCAAACACATTCCTGCGGAGGGAGCTGGTAGGAACGTTGGGTTGCTCGGTCAATGGCCAGGATCAACGGCGGCGTGGTTTATTCCGCAAATATGCCCGACTGTAAGGGCGGGCACAAGCCGGCGTGAGTAGGTTAAACGTTGAGTTTTATAAGGGCACCACGGGGTGACCAGCCCCTCCCCACCCAGCCCCACCCCCAACCCACCGACAACCTCCCCACCCAGCCCCTCCCCACCCAGCCCCTCCCCACCCCACCCAGCCCCAACCCACCCACCTCCCCACCCAGCCCCTCCCTGCACGACGGACACAATAATCCCCTGTGGGCTGGTGTAACCAGGAGGTTCCTCCCAGTAAGCTCACAAGAACAGCGTCTCGTGGAGTCGTTCCACATTGATTTCAGTGTTGGCGCCACCTGGCGGTCAGTTGGGAATTGCACTCGAAGCAAAACTCGTTGAAGGTAAAGTCTTCACGAGAATCGGTCTCGAGCTCGACAGTTGTATTAATATTTGCACACAAACTCGGGCTTAATAAACCGAACTGCTGATGAGGCCCACAGAGTCGAAACCGGTCTGGGGGTTTGCGTGCTTAAATGCTGCTGAATTTTTGTGTGGAAATCCATCAGGCAACAGATGAGAATGCAGTTTTATTCATTTTTCATTTACAGTATAAAGAAAACACATCCATAGGATGGTCTAGTAGCGGCTAGCGATAGATGAAGCAGCCAGGGCAGTAAGAGGCTAACTTTAATAAGAGATGAATTTCAATAAGAGACCAACTTTAATAACAGACAAACTTTAGCATCCTATCAGTTGCCAACAATAAGCACGGCCGCATCTCTGATGAGCAGGGTTCGCTACGTACGTACGGTGGAAAGGAAGTTCAACATACCATACATACCTTCAAGCCAACTAATTCGAGAGTACTGCTGTGCGTGGGAAACGGAACTTGAAATTCACTCAATGTTATTGGCAGGCCCGGGGTGTGTTGACACGGGGGGGGGGGGGCATTGACATCAAGTGCAGGCGTTTACGATACAAAAAAAATCAGACCCAAATTAACAGATTCTACGGCGCATGCAAATGACGACGACATGCGGTGTGTATATAGGAGGCCGCTACACTTTATTTACACAGCAGCGTACTACGTCCGGGGTAATGGATGGAACACGTTACAATCCACACAAAACGAAAACTCCAAATGCCTCTTTTTTAAAACCACACAATAAAAAGCTAAAACGTAGCACAGTTGAATAGTGTTAAATCAAATGTCGAAAATAGAAACGCACTACATATATGCCGTCTGAACAAACTCCCAAACTAAAGAGACAGCTACATATATGGAAGAGAATGTCCTTGCACACGACAACCAAATATCTTCTGGGCCACCCTTACACGAAATTAAATAAATCATTCGGCCTTTGAGACAATTACTAAAAGCATAATTAAAATGACTCGTGCTGGGAAAGCTTGTATTTTCACATCCCAAAGCCGCAACTTTGCAACATCATAAAATCTGCGCCCAGTGTACACGTGATCCACAGTCGTATATGTTTTTGGTGGTATGCCCCTGCTGGTTTGAAAACCATTTAAATGTTAAAAGAAAAAAGTCACCGGCTTTTTTTCCCCGCTCCCACCAACGCAATATTCCACTAATGTCACGCTCACTCTCAAACGAAAGTTTCCAAAAGATCCCTCTCGAAAGCACTTTATCGATACTTCTCCCACGCGTTCTCCCGAGTTGTTCACAATGACGCCCAAATGTTTAGTTCCACATTGCGGGGGAGCTTCGTCAGTTCCAGTTCCACTCCGCGTGCGGCGGGAGCATCTTTGATTAAAAGTTCGCGAAGAAGCTCCCAAAGCACGCAGAGTAAAACATTGGGACATTTTTGCCGAACGAGACGCGGAACAACCCACATGCACATCGGAGAGCGATGTGGCCATATAACCGTGAAGACCTACGCAGTAGTATCATCACTTTTCCTATCTTCTAAAGACAGTACATCTAAAATGCATGTTGCACAGTCATCTTCAGGTTCACATTTGCTGCACACGTTTTTCAACATTATTCTATTAGTGGTAGATTGAAACGAAATTAAATACTTCCTCAAAGTAAAACGTTCTGGAAGTAATGCTGCACAGCAGTGGCATGAGTGAAGGAACAAAATACTGGCTTGTGCAATTACACCGGTGCATGCCATTTCATTAGAGTTTGGAATTGCCCTCTTAAATGTTCAATTGCCTTAATATTAGAATTCTGTGCCATTATCTTAACACACACGGGTGTCGATATGAAGCAGCATCAATTAGATGCTGAGCCACAGTGTTGTGTGCAGTGCTGCGCAAACAAAAAAAACCCCAGGGTATTTCATTACGGGTGTTCTATAAATACAACGCGTCAGGTGCAGGGTGTGGGGGACCTGCAAGGCGACACAATCAAAATAGTTGGATGTGCAACAGATGTAATCATGATGCCAACAGCCACACCTTACGTGTGGGATTAAAAACAACTCTGCCACGTTGGGAGCACAACACCAATTCGTATGAAGCGCTGCATTTGGCCTGGGTAAGGGTTGCAACCCTTCCACACGCAAACAAAAATAGGCCGGCCAAACAACCTGGCAACAGCGAGATTAACAATGGCGTTTCTTAAGTGCTTTACCAAGTTATCCGTTAACTTTTGGGCAGATGTTTGCAAAAGGAACACACGACAAAAAAAATCTGCATTTTGTATAATGACCGGATAGGAATTCAGGAAAAATATTTGGAAGGAATGTTCATGCTCGGGCCACCACTGGTAACTTTACTCTCAGCCTAACCATCAATTTATAGATGACACTATCCAAGCAAATGCAAGCATAGCAAGTCCTGATAACACTTTACTCGATGACCAGTAGATAAGCGTAGAGCTACGAACAATGCTAGTAAAAATAACTATCTTTTTAGAAAAAATACAAATAGCTAAACTGAGATTTCAATAAACTTCATAACCTACAAGACTGCAACACAATCTAGAGTTATCCCACCCCTCCCCCCATAACAATTCTGCTTTAAAAATTAATGTGACTAAACATTACACAAATTTAACACATTAGTATAAAAATCATAGGTTTTCATTTAAATGAACCTTTGCAAGTCTGTAAATACGTTACAGTGTAATACTATAAGCCCGTTATACTACAAATATCACCAACGCTTTTATTGTAAAGAAATTCTGATTGAACAGTCAATGCCCCAGTGTGAGTGAGTGTAAAGTGGGCCCACAGTCGGCAAACAACCATCAGGCAAAGTAACAAAGACGGTTGCACAGGGGGGGGGGGGTAGTTTCTTTTGGGACTCCTGCCCCCCCCCAAAACACCGACAGTAGCGGTGTTAACGAGTCAGTTCGTCACAGTGGCACCGGGCAGTCTCCCGTCATTCTGCGGACGATGCAGACCACAGACCACACCGCGAGAGTTTTACGCACGCAAAGCTCCCCCACCCACACCACCAGCCCCATCGTATGGACCCCCTCTCAAGACTGTTGGGGCGAGCGAGAGAGACCTGTGAAGGCGCGGACACAACACGAGAGGATCGGTCGTAGGGTTGGTTCGGCAAAATGTTTGGCGCGGCGTGAACGCACAGCATCAGATACTCATTAAAGGTGAGTTGAACCTAGGCAGGGCCCCGAGACCAACTGAGATACGCGCCACCGATGGTATCCGTTACCAGGGATCGAACCCCAGGAATATCCAGATCTCAGCAGTGCACAAAAGCCACCGCACCACACACACGCACGCGCGCGCGCGCACACATACACACAGAACAAATTGTTTAAAATTAACTTAAAGTTCCCCAACAAAATGAATGTTAACATACATATAAATAGTTACACTTAAAAAAAGAACGCTTCAGCGAGCAGTAGAAAACTATGCAAGGTGGACCCCCCACTCGGTCGGCACGACGCGGCGCACCCCTTGAGAAGCGAGCGGTTTCAAACTCCTGCTGCCGGGTTCGGGCCAACCCAAGTGAGCAAACGCCAAACACTCGACCTGATCCAAGACACACCTCCATGTCGTCATACGGACCCTGCTGCCACAGAGCAGAGACGAGTTCGGGTGGGGGGATTGGGGTCACAAGGAAGAGGCAGGAGACGCCGCCTCGCCCACGGCACCCAATGCGTGACCCCCCCCCACCCCCCGCCGAGAGGTGCCCCTTCACAGCCACAAAACTTTGGTTTTTTTCTCTCTCCTCTCTAAGCGCAGTCTTGTGAGGTCCAAGATTAAGGTGCAACGGTGAATAACGATTAGGCATGCGATGATCTCAACTGCCAAGAAGATTCGATGAATTGCCATTATTCGAGGGTCTCCAGGATTAACATTGTCCCGTATTTTTTGTCGGGTAGCTTCGTCTCATTCGTGCAGTTTTGTTCACCGTATTAACCCGCACGCAATGTCAATTTATACCGCACAGATAATTTGCATACATTATAGTAGGTTGTCACATTCATGATGGGACGCGGACGCGCGCCGTTTGCATGCCTAACAATCGTCAACTTCCCCCGTGGCGACAAACAACAGAGCCTTGCGTGAGTTACGGGTCGGGCAAAGGGGGGTACAGGTTGACGTGACGGGTGGAAAACTGACCAACGATTAAAAACGGGGAATGCTGACGACTAAAGATACAACCAGAAATTCCAATAGTCTGCATTGATATGGTGGGGGGGTGGGGGGCAGAGGATCACCGCAGAGGTTAGACCACAAAATAACCCGCAAATTGTTGTCAAGCGGGCGCGGTGTGCCGCCGATGACGGGAGCAGTTGCAAAAGCGTCAAGAATCCACGAATTAAAAAGGCACTCGTGGATTATTGGATTTTTTTTTTGCTCCAATTTCGGAAAAGCATTCTCCGAAAGACCAGCGCGATTCGAACCCGTTAACTAAAACTGTACCAAGAAGCACCTGCAGCCTAAGCAGGCTGATTACATTTCAACACGACGTCACCAGAAGCTGAATCCAAGGCGACCGTACATATTGGTGGTGGGGGGGGGGGGGAGATTTGGAACTTCGCCTCTGCCCGTCCTCACAGCTGTTGGTGTAACACAACGCTGGCTTACGGCCTGCCGCCACTGCAGAGAACACTCTGCGTTTCATTTCCATTCAAACCCAATCCGTCTACAGGGCAAACCCGCTGCTGGATTGGGACCTCATCCCACGCCCAAAGCCGTTGACTGTTATTCCACCATGCTTCGCTACGCTCGTCATTGCAGGTTGCAGGCGGGGGCGTAGTGATGCAAGTACGGTCATGGATGTTGTGAGACTGCTCGCTGCTGCGCGACTAAAAACCCCGCGAGCCTCCTCACGACTCGTTGTACAGCCGTCCACGTACTATCCAGGCTCAAGCCCGCTTGCCACATCCCACGTAACTTGTCGAGGACATTGTGCATCTAATTTGAAGGAAAACAAACCTAAGGTGATGATGCAAAACACATTATTATGTTTAACAAGCATACGCATTTCCCGTGAAAGGAATTGGGTTATTTTTTTTGGCCTGGGCATTGGCACGTAAGGGTCTACTGCTGGCAGATTTCAGAGGGTCTTTAATATCCCTTCTACGGCAAACAGCGCACTTTGGTACTATCTCAGTTCCCAAATATGAACATACTGTGGCAAGATTTGCACGGTTCAACAAATCCCAACGAGCTTGTGGATGTTCCAGCTGCCAAGCCTGCACTAGAGGAAGTGCATTTGTCTCCCTAGGCTATCCGGCGAGCAGACGGAAAGCTTAAAAAACCACACACGGTTACAGCAACCGAGCGTTGGGTATGTACAGTCAAACGCAATGAGCCTTAATTAACGTTTGCAACTAAAAAAACAAGCCTACATATTTAATAAACTGGTGTTAAAAGTTCCCCAATTCCATCTGCTTATTTTAATCTCTGTTTGCTCATCCTTGACCACGATTCTAGATCAAGCCGTAATTGTCTTACTTGGTTGTGTACTCTGAATATCGGATCTCAACAACACCTTTTTTTTTTACCCATGGACACACCAAAGGGAAGGTGGTTAGTCGACGATGGATGTAAAAAGGAACGGGAAAGGATTTCGGGATAAAAGTGCCCAAGACGGACACCGAGGGCACGGCTCAAGATGAACAGCAGGAAGGAGGAAAGGAAGGAGCGCCTGGCAGGAAGGGGGAGGACTGCCTGTGCCAAGATGTCAGTGATGAGAGAGAGGGTGATGATGAGAGCGGAGGGAAGAGGGAGAGAGAGAGAGGCAGCAAAGTGAGCCGCAGAGCGGCGTTAGGGGTGGCCACACAAACGTGACGCAATTTAAGCGAGGCTTCGGATGATCTAAACATAAACAAGGGCATCCAGCCACTCCGAAATGAGTCGTGCGCAAGATAAACGACGATGCTGCACGTGAGAGAGTATGCAAAGTGTCAAATAATATTACAAACAGCGTCGGGAAAAATTACACGTTAATTTTTGACAAACGTGACAGAAAAGAAACCGTTGAGTCACCTTGCAAACCGTTCTATGCCGATCAAATGGACCCACCACTGTACCCAAAGGTAATTAAGAGACTGGATCAATACCTTGTCAAGTAAATTAGCACAGCACCTCATGTGAAATAAAACTGGACCCAACCGTTACAGTGAAATGTGGAGAACATTTAGCCTTTTTTTCTTTCAATCATCGTTAACCGACTACACAGTACAGCACAATTTAAAATAAATCTGTGCGCAGTACACCACCCACTACTGCCTCCCCCCAGCACCCTTGTTCAGCCTTTGTGCGATGGGATTTTTTTTTTTTCGCGCGTCACCTTTGTCGGGACGAGCAGACGAAACGCGCAGCTACGCCGACCAATGGGACCAGGCCAGCCGAGGTGTGCGATTCGCACCCCAACCATCCTTCTCACCCCTTAGAGTCGACATCACATCTGTCATTGTCCGGGCCCCCCCCCTGTAATTATTAGTCGAGGCTCGGACCTCGTAAATAGCGGGGATTGCTCCTTGTTTAATTACGCACGCCCTTCGTCCGGCAGGGGGGGGGGGGGCGGTCCTCCGCGTCCCGGCCTTTACAATCGGATCGTCTTCGGCTTGCAGACGGAGCGCGTCTCCCCCCCCCCCCTCCCCCCACAGAGCGCGACGCGGCAGAAGAGCAGTTGGCGTACATTCTCTCGTGTCCACGCGACCGCACGACGACGGTGAGCGCCGTGGGCCCCCCCCAACCCCCCTGCCCGCCCCCCACCCCTCGAGGCTTTTTGGTGGCACGGACTACCTCGACGCGGCAGCACCGGCAAAGAACCACCCCGGTTACTGTCGGCTAGGGGTACGGTTGGGTTTTTAGCCGGGGGCCCAGGAAGAAGGGGGGGGCAAACACGACGCCACCACCGAGCCTCACTGCCCTAACCGCTTTGACAAGGCATTGGTCATACCCTATGCATATGCTAAATAAAGGCAACGTATACTTTATACACACGATGTTAGCAAAGGTGCTTGACTTGTGTACAAACGGATCATTCTTTGCATTCTACGCAGGTCGTGTGTTTTACATGTTCTCGCGGTCACTGCGGTGGTTGTTTTTCCGGGTTGCGCGAGACAAAATGCAGACTTGGGTTTTAAAATAAATTGGCGCGCACACGGGGAGAGGGGGGGGGGCTTTCTGCTTGGAGATTAATTCAAGTGTTGTCTTGTTGTTATTTCTCATCAGCGGGCAGAGTGTAGATTCAGCGTACAGATGTGAGCATAAATTGTTTGGCATCCGATAGTGCAAAAAAAACACATCTCAGCAGACGAGCTCGCCCGTCCAGTTTCAGACCAGGCAAGAACAACATGTAACGCATGTTTGCCAGCGCTTGTTGTCATCATCATCATCATCCGTAGAATTCTAAACCAGCAGTCCGCGTGCAAGGGGCGCCCCAGCGGTTAGCCGGACACTCCCGACATGTACAAACAACACACACCCCCATCAGGTGTGGCGTTAAGGCCATTTGTAGGAAACGCCGCCTACGCACGCCCGAAAGGATCCTTACGCCAAGCATCAATCACCGCTGTTCGCACGTGCGCGTCTTTGGCTGCACACGCGAACGAAGAGCGTCGCACCGTGGATGTTCCCCTCCGGCGTGCCACGCAGCGCTTTTTTTTTTTTAAACATTCCGTTTTTGTTTTTCTCCATCGCCACGTCACTCGAATTCGGGTGCTTCCATTTTGACGCTGCCGCCGCCGCCTCCACCGCCACCTTGGTTGGCGAGCGCCAGGATGGAGTGGTTCACGGCCGCCATCTCCACCGCCAGTGAGATGGGGTCCGGCTGGTGCTCGCTCTGGCTCTCGTCCTATAGGTGCAGGGCAGATGGGTCGGGGGGTGGGGGCGAGAGGGTCAGAGAGATGCAAAAAAAAGTGACAAGATGTACGTATGTAGAACTTCTTTCGCACCGTACGTAGCCGACCGTGCTAATCGAAGGCACAGTTCAGATAATCGTGCGTGCCAATCATCGTGCTTGCAGGCAATTTACACGCAATGTGTTGTGCGTTCTGACCAGCCCGATGTACGCATGCGCTGTTGAGCCGTAGAGTGTAATCGGGGCTACAAAATCTTCTTCCGCGTTTTTTCCCCACTCACGCAGTCTGCATACTCCTCGGTATATTTCTCAACTCATTCCTGTCCTGGGCAACCATCTCCTGGTCCATTACAGCCCTTCGCATCCTGGCTCACCACTTCAAGCCACTTCTCCACCCCGACACTTCCACGTCCACCTCTTTAGCGATGCGATTCTCCCCTCTTCGTGTGACATACCCTAACTTGCCGAGTCCACTCGTTTCCAGGGGGTTAAAAACAATACAGCCCCTCATATATATGGGCTGTCTGTTTGCCAATTTTGGTTAACGTTTCGTTAAATGTATTCCACGCGGACCCCTAACAATGTAGCTGTCCGCTAATTGCTGATCTTTTCCATGCAAAGCCGCTGCACATTACACACATCTGAGGGTTGGTGATCATGGAAAGCTGCAACATGGCAGGAGATGGGGGGGGGAAATCACGAAGCTTAGCGTTTGAGAAACTGACTGTTAAGAAATGTAAGTGGGTCTGGGTAGCACTAGAAGGGCAGGTCATGGCTGCCGATGACGACACCACAAGTAAGAACGTCCCCGGTCAAACAGCGAGTCATAAACCTCGATTTAAAGCTTTCGTGACTGCAGGGATTCATCTTCTTGGTTCTTTCGGTAAAGTCTTCTCGACAGACCTGTTCTCCACCTGAGGACGGCTGCTTGCGTTGTGGCCGAAACGTCGTGAGAATTATTTTAGTATGTTTTATTTTTATTATTTTATTATTTCCATTCTACGTGACTTTACCGAAAGAACCAAGAAGAGTCATAAACCGTCGTGGCAGGAGCCCGCGAGAAATGATCACGCAAGCAGCGATAAACCCCGGCCCCAGCACACCTGCTCCGAATACTCGGGGCCCTCCACGTCGTCCGAGATGGAGTGAGCACCGGGACTCTGGACCTCCAGGCCGTGACTCTCCAGTATCGCTGCTTCTTTGGGAAAGACAAACGTGCTGTTACGACACTGCATGGCGGGAACACATACGTCACGACACTGTATGATTTCACAGATGTGCTGCACAGCTCTCAAATGCGTTTTCGGGTAATATCACGCGTTGCCCGGCTTGACGCCCGATGTTCTCGCTCACGTGCCAGAAGCTTCTACCGAAACCTGAACCGAATTCCTGAAGAAACTTCTATCGCGCGGAGCGAAACGTCAGAAGTGAAGCCAAAAAATAACCCCGACAAATACATCGGAGAGCTGTGCGGTCGCGACCGCTGCAGAAGACCGTGCCTCCATCGCAGAGATCCTACGCTCGGTCCTTCGTTCCAGCACGAGACCGATATTCACGATCTCAGTATTCGAGTAGCAATGTACATGGTGAATTGTAACAACTTAGGCATCACGATTCAATTCTAGAAAATGCTTCGTCTTGTGATGTAACTATTTCCGTTGCAAAGGTTTTTTTTCTCTTCTGTTCAGCTCTGTTTCCGCCCCCCCACCAAGCCGACATACAACATTCGCGTACCGATCGCCACTGCGCTTGCCGTACCACCACTGGGGCCGAGAGGGGGGGGGGGGTTTGGCGTTGTTATTTTTTTTATAACTCTGCGAGATGGAAGCAGGGCCCATTGCCTCCGGCGCTGGGTTACAAGTTACAAGTGTGCGCCAAAATAAAGAAGGCCCCGAAAAAAGGCGAATGCCAGACAAAACCGGGTCCTCCGGTTTTTCCCTCCACATTTTAGAAAGATGCACTGGGATTATTTGGGTACCTATCAATGCCCAAGTGATGGGCCACTTTGATCAGCTGTCATTTATCTCCAGGTTGCTTCTGAAAAATAAGTTAATATCTCAGTGGGCTTTGCCTGGTAGGATGGGGATGTTTTTTTTGCATGTGTTTCAGTGATTTGTTTACCTTTCTTGTACTCTGCACTAGTATCATGTTTTTGTACTGTTTGTTGTTGTAAAATTCTTACCCACCCGATTGGAATCCTCCAGTATAAACAAATATTCCTATTCTATTTCTCTTACAAGGTCACGTCAACGCCGAAGGTGGCAAGTTGTTTTGTTTTGTCTGCAGCACCCTGGTGTTAAAAACGGCTTCGGTGGCGAACGCACCGGGGGGGGTGGGGGGGGCTGGGTCATCGTCTAGCCGAGTCGTGGACAAGACGAAACGGAGCAAAGGTCACGTGAACTCGAGGGCAAAGGTCGCGTGAACTCGAGGGCGTACCTATGTTGGCTCGCCTTTTGATCTCCTTCCGCCGGTTTGCGAACCAGTTGTACACCTTGAGTGGCGTAACGCGCTCCAGCTCGGACAGTTTCTTGCCTGTGATAGCAAAGCGACGGGGGGGGGGGGGGCAAACACGTTAACAGCGCAGCCGACGGGGGGAAAAAAACGCTCCCCCCGCAACGCCAAGCTAGCGGGGAAAACTTGTAGCGACCCCACACCGTTGACAAGGCCGGCTCTTGTCGAAATGGAAAAACAATGCACGGAGAACATGTGCGTGTAACTGTAGCAGCTGCTGTTATGATGTTTTGACTACTAGCCTTGAATTGTATTACTTCAATTGCCTGGTCACCCTGAACACCGAGCCAAAAATCTAAATTGTTAACTCGGTGTGTATTTTCTCAGTTGATGTCACTGGGACATTGACACAAATTACTCCACAACTTACGCGGTAATTGCCCCTCCCTAAAAATCAAGCGCGACCACACAGCACACGTAACATTCAGAGTTATTTTAGACCAGGCAAGGGGGGCATCAATCGGCACGTTGTTGGGAAGGCGCGCACACACGTACCAGGTTTTTGGATGACAGCATTGCAGGCGTTGGCTATCTCCTCCCTCTTAGCTTCATCTGGGTACTGGTTTTCACTGAAGTAGCTGCAAACATAAATCGCAGAGGCAATTTGGTAAAAAAACACACAGAATTTGCCAGCGAGCAATCGCGTGCACAAAAGACATTTGAGTGTATTTATAACCGCAGCACCTGCGCTACTTAATGCAATCTGGTTTAACTGGTTTAAAGAGCAACTCCAGTAACAACAATCGCTTAAGCAATGCCGACTTCTTTTACAATGCGGTTACAACTAACCCTTTGCTCTATGCTTGATCTTGCTAATGTCAAAGTCATAACGTCATCAAGGCCCATGCCACTTTAACATCACTTCCATATTTTTGCTTTGTCCTGTAGTAGATCTCGAAAGCCCGCTTTCAGAGCACCCCGCAATCTAGCTCGAGGTCTTTCCTTTGCTCACCTGGACCTCTGGGCATCAATCTAATGTCTTGTAATCTCAGGATCAGAATATTTATTTATCCTGGAGGAATCCCATGAGCTGTAAAGCTCTTTTTCACAAATGTCCAATCGGGGCACGGGGTAAGAACGTTACAATAAGAAACAATACAAATCACCCAAACGCATATAAATAAAACTGAATCATCCCCATCCTACCAGGCAAAGCCCACTGAGGCATGAACGTATTTTTCAGAAGCGACCTGGACACAAATTATAGCTTAACAAAGTGGCCCATCATTTGGATATCTGCCCTTTATGTGTCCTACCCCCATTACAACCACTCCTCCTCACCACATCTTCACTTTCTTGTCACGTTATATTTAAAACTTACAAGACGCTGACCCGATTCTTACATGGAAATCTTAGCACCTTCAGTGCCTTTCACGAGTACATAAATTGAAAGACTATACACTTATTTTCTTGTTTCTTTGTCAAAGTCCAGCTTTCGGGCTCGTACAGCAATACATAATTCATGCCTGTCAATATAACATATTGTGGTGAAATTAGAGAAAAATTAACTCGCACACGATTAGCGCTGTTGGCTACGTACGGTGTGAAAGTTCAACTTACTTTCACTGCTGGATTATTATTTTTTTCCGCCCGAGGACGACCGCTTGTGTTGCGATCGAAACGTCTTGATATATTATTTTTTATTTTGTTTCATTTTTCTACCTACGTGACTTTACCGAAAGAACCAAAGAGTATGTACATACATACGTCATGTTCTACGATATACGTGGCAGTGGTGTGGAACTAGAGGCGACGTGGTCAAGTGATCAGGATGAACTCTGGCCACTCTGTTTTAACACCGCCAGCGTGCAGCGATAACAAAATTACGCCATAAAACGGGCCCGGTTGTCGCTGGGGCATACACACGCCAAAGCGCGCAGAGGGATATGGAGAACCACCATGACCCAGAAGTTGAATGCGACTGTTGCCGACCTCAATAAAACGTTGTTCCGCCAAAGTGGGCCAATTTCACTTGAAAATAATGTCACGTACGACAAACACTGCAAAGCTTTAAGGCCACGATAAATAACAAGCGACTTTACAGCAATCCGGTGTCGGCAAATTGTCACCGGCAATGCATTCATTGCGAGCAACTATGGCAACTTGGAATGGCAATGGAAAAAGAGTGTCGGGATTTCTGTCTGGCCAATAAAAAAATAGCGTGTTGGGTAACATCGCCTAGAGTTTGACCTCGGGTAGTCATGTGACCCATCTGTGATCCGACTAGTAGTTACCATCCCAGCTGCCCACTAGAGCAGTCAAATTTGTCGATATCCGGGCGACTCAATAGGCAATGGTGCAGCAACAATTTGTCGATGTCAAAGAACAGTCCGGCACGCTCCATTCTACTGCTAAGAGCAGTACTCCTAAGTGGGCGATGTCAGCAATTACACAGGAACCACGTGATCAGCGACTACACTCCGAGTAGAATAGAGCACTAACAGGTTTATAGCCAACAGCATTTCGTGAGCACAGAAGCTAATCACGCAGTCTCCACCAACAAAATAATTCCAAAATTACACAGAATATAAAACAACGTCGATTACTGGCTTGTGAAGGCCAACAGTTACTCAGCAGTAAAGATGATTTTTCTGGTCCCTTCACATTTACAATGCAGCTACTGCCCAAAGTCTTACAAGAAGCCCAGTGTTCTCTGTATATAAAGCAGGCGTGGGGAACGTTTTCCTTCATTGGAGGACCGAACAGAACTTTCAAATACCTCTGGTGCACCACACATAAGTTGACACGAAACTTTGATCACACGAGGACTGCATGCATTTACTGCGTGCTCGAAACTACTTGAAAGGCAAGAGCGTGCTGAAATAATTTCGCACATTTGGGTTTCGCTTAATTCTTTTTGTGGTAAGGCTATCACAAAGGTGCTACGTTTCACGCAGTATGCAGTAGTAACAGAGAGCGATGTTGCAATGAATAATCCCAATTGTAGGTAGTCTTCATGGAATTTGGCAAGCGTGGACCTTGACACCGACACGCCTGCTCATTTCAAATTACGCCAGGGAATGTTTAACGTCCATTGTGAAGCAGACGACGCTTATTTCGTGGTTTAATAGACACCGCTGCAATAACCAGGGTGACCTTACGGAGTCGAATCATGACAATCTCTGCGACAAGCGTGCGAACGTGCTACCACTGGGGCCACGTCAACAGCCAAAAATATGAAAAACGGGGTTGCCAGGTCGAAAATATGTCTTACTTGTACTCAATTAGTGCAGCGAAGATGCCTGTGTTAAACTGATAAACATCATGTGGGCCTGGGGAATTTGAGGCCCGATGGCACACAGGGCCTGAGGATAAGGGGCATAACCATCGCAAATTTATACCGGAGCTCGAATCGGAGAGATGGAAATTTTAAAAAATGCTCGTTTAGGTGGCCTCTAATGTTTTTATTTTCTTTATGTCAGGAGTGTTTTGGTTATATCCCTTCCCCCTTACTTTAAATAACAAAAGTCACCCTTACCCCTTTCGGTGGGACCCACCCTGCCCCCCCGCCCCCCGTACGGTTTGGGGCAGCGAGCCCATTCCCCATCTTTCTATCCCCTGCTTTTCATAACCGGTTTGGCGTATTCTTGACGGTGTGTGTACGAGCGCCACAACGTGATGCATCGGGCCCGCAAATTGCCTCAATAAAAAACATATTATATATATTTCATGTGGGCCGATGGGAAGCAAAAAGCCTTGCATCGCCCACGCGCTGTACGAGACGACGCCGCGGGCAGTGGAGCGGGCTTCACCACCCAAGCTCTACTTCCCCTCCAACTGCAACGTTCAGGCGAAACGCATGCTACCGATGTCGGTGGGCTTTTGGATAGTGGTGGTGGGGGGGGGGAAGGATTTCCACCACCTCTCCATGACGGTAAGGCACTCCTTGCGCCAGGTGAAGCGGCTGCCGCGCCGAACGCGAAGCGCTGCAGGGGTGCCCGTGCGCCAGTCCAATATCTCGTCCTGCTGGTGCTGCTGCTGTTGCTGCTGCTGCTGTTGCTGCTGCTGCTGCTGCTGGGGGCTAGGTGCAGGCCGCATGCTCAGGGTCGCTCCTACCAGAGCAAGTGCGCGCACACACACACAACACTTCATTGCCATGTTATCTTCTGAACGTCCACGCTGCTTACATTTTATACTTCTGTAAAAGAGTATTGTACTAATCAAGGAGCTGGAAGGATCGTTTATTGAGTCTGCAGCACAACATGTACACGTGGGGGAGATGAATTCCACATGGAGCCCCGAATTACACCTACGCAGGCCTCATGTCCTCTCCCCAGACCTTCCCAAATGTTGCAGGTCAGATCCTTTACCCCATCCTGAGTTTCCCCCCAACGGGTATCGAACTGACATTCAATCACCATTTAAAATTGGCTACGTTTCCATCCTCCAAACTCGCCGTCTAATCGGAATAAAGCATCTGGCCCTCCTCCGAAAACGAACAAGCCCTTGGCGAGCAGCCCATCAGCTCTCGCACCATGTACCCACTTGCTCTGTAGCCTAGAGTCAGCTCGAATTTCTCTCCTATCTCTCTCTCTCTCTGCCAGAAACATCAGCCGATTATATATTTTTAAGTTACAAGTCGATGGTAATTATTAACACTCTCATTCCGATGATGCACACGCACTGACATAAAATAACTTTATCGGTACCGAGCCTCCCACAAGGCCATGCGGGAAGGCGTGTGGCACATTTTGATGCCAGCTATTACAGTGCGGTCGTGTCACTACAATTTTCTACGGTGAGTAGGCGCTATGCCTCTCTGAATAAAATGAATGCTGCAACGCTTGCGCGAT